CCCCGCCCCCCCCCCCCCCCCCCCCCCCCCCCCCCCCCCCCCCCCCCCCCCCGGGCTTGCTGGCCGTGGGCTCGGCACTCCTCCCTGCTCCCCTTCCCTCCCCTCTGTGCGCCTGCTGCGCGGTGGTTCTTGTGGCTGCTCCTCGGCTCCTCGCGTGGGGAGGCTTCAGGGGAAGGGGCTCTCCCCCTGCCGGTCTCGTGTGCTGGGATCTTGGCTTTTCATCTGCCACTGGGTTGTGCCTAATCTGTATGTCACGAAGCGTGATTCTGCTCTTGCTGGAGCAGAGAGGAAACCAAGGTTGGGGAAAAATGGTTTGTTTGGGGGCAGCTAGATGGCGCAGTGGATAGAGCACCAGCCCTGGAGTCAGGAGGACCTGAGTTCAAATGTGGCCTCAGACACGTGATACTCACTAGCTGTGTGACCCTGGGCAAGTCATTGCCTCGCCAAGAAAAAGAAAAAAGAAAAATGGTTTGCTTGAGGATACAAAAGCTAGTCAGCAGCCGACCCGGGATGGACATTCCTGCCCTTGGGCGGCTAGCCTGCTGCCGTTTTTACACCCTGCCCTCTGTGACTCCTCATGTCTCAGTCCGTGTGTCCTCTGGGAGGCAGGCGTTCTCACGTGCCTAAGCCTGCCGCGCCGTTGCTCGGTCCTTCTCACACAGCTGGTAGAAGCGGAGGAGCTGCCTGGCCAGGAGGTAGTCTGCCCCATGGCTGGCACCGAGCCGAGAGCCCGGGAGCCCGGGCAGCCATCTGAGAGCTCTTCTCCATTTCTCTTCCAGCCGGCGGGCGCCGGGGCTACGACAGCCGTGCCTACGGGCAGCAGTACTGGGGGCAGTCTGGAAGCAGAGGGGTGAGTGCGGCTCTCCTCCGGCTCCTCCCTCCCGGCAAGACCGTGGACTAGACTGTGAACTCCTTGAGGGCAGGGGCACCTAGCGCAGCGATCGGCACGCAGTCAGCACTGTATGTGTGTTGGCTTGCAGCTGGCTCCTCCTGAGCTGCCTCTGGCCAAGGTGCTGAAAGCCCCCGGCCACATCTCTCCTTCTCACGCAGGGCTACCGTAACTTCTACGATCGATACCGAGGAGACTATGATCGGTTCTACAGCCGGGACTACGACTACAACCGCTACAGGGATTACTACAGGCAGTACAACCGGGAGGTGAGTGGGCGGGAGGAGCCGACGCCGGGGCAGAGGGGCCGGGGCAAGCCTCCTGGCCCTGGCTGACGGGGCTGTCCCCGCTCTCTTCCAGTGGCAGAACTATTACTACCAGGACCGTGACCGATACTACAGGAGCTACTATGGCTACCAAGGGTATCGGTGAAGGCCTGGCCAGCGGCGCCTGCTGGCCACAAGGAGAAGCCTCGGGCCCGGAGGCACAACCAATGAGAAACGGGCTGGGGGGAGGGCAAGAAGGGGGAGGCGGCAAACCAAGAAAAACTGTACATTTTTTAAAAAAAGTTTGTTGAAAAGAATATTGTCTTATTCTATAAAACGTTTCAAATCTAGTTAGACATTTGTAATCACAAACCTTTGCGCATAATACAGCCCTAGGGATGCCTGCCCTTTCCCTGTAACATGTGGGACGGGACAAGCAACGTGTTAGCCTGACTTCTGACATCCTGAGGCAGCTGGGCTGGCAGCTAGGCAGGGGAGAGGTCCGGATGGCTGGGACTGGGGCAGTGAAATAAAGGATTGGCTCTCAGCAGTCGTTTGCACCACTAACCGCTTGTATTTTCTTTACCGACCTTTCCCTCTTGGGATGTCTGGTCTGGTGGGCTGGAGGCCAGCACGTCCTTAGGTCCCATCTGGTGTCTTTGTGCTGGTGGCCACGGCATAGAAACTGTTCATTAGGTGACTTGCATAGGACACCCAGGTTCAGTGGGGCAAGGGGTCTGCTTGGGTCTGGAGCAGAGTGTTTGGTTCTTTTTGTCTGTTGATGCATTTTCCTGAAAGCTTGGTGAGTGGGCATGCTGGGCCAGCATAGAGAACCTGGTTTGCCAGGGCCCATCTCTGTCTTCCAAGGGTGTGCCAGGGGTGCCCTCAGAAGGCACTCCTGTGCAGTATCCACCTTCTCGAGTAGTGGGAGAGGAGGAACATTCTCAGGGTTTCACAAACAAATGCAACAGGATTCTCGTGCTCGTTGGAGTGTGGTATGTGCAGAGGCAGATATTCTGATGTGAGCAGCAAGCTCCCAGGGTCAAGAAGAGCAATTCTGTACCGTGTGGAAAGGGTCATCCTCCCCTGTTGTGATAGTCAGTGGAGCCAGGAAAGAGGCATGGAGGGATGGATAGGAGGAGGCCCAGTGCAGGAAGCGGGCTCCTAAGAGGAGCAAAGGGGAGTGCCTGCATGTGTGAGATACCTCCAGGTGGGATTTCAGTGGTCTTGCCTTAGTGTGGATTTCCCCCTTTTCAGTTGGTTCTTTACAAAGTGGGATGAAGCTGGCGGAAACCATGCTGTAGGAGAGGTAGCATGTGGCGGTTGGGGGAGGTGGGTAAGATGGGCCTACTCCTGCATTCTGGATATGGGTTCTGTTCCCTTCCTGCTCAGCATTTCCCCAGTGGCTGCCTGGGCTGGCCTATCTGAAATCCTGTCTGAAATTGTTTTGTCTTCCTATCCCCTCCTGTTACACTAAGCCTGTTGGCATGAAGCTGAGTCCTGACTCTTAGCTCTATTTGTCCTTGACAGACACCGGGGGCCCCCCAACTGGCATGAGTCAGGAGCAGATGGGGCATCCAGGCCCCTAATGTTGCCCTGAAAGGGTTGGTGATGTTGGTGGAGGCAAACATTACAGCCCAGGGCAAGCCAGGCTCTTGGGCAGGCAAACCCACGTTGCATTTCCTTAGTCATTAACTGCTGTCCTTTGTGAAAAGTCTGGAGCTGTCCCAGCACTGTGGGAAGTAATCTGGACTGAGGGGCTGGTAAGGGGCTCCAAGCGCACTGAGAGGATACAAAGGGGGAAAGCCAGGAGGTGGGTGCTGTAGAAAGGCTGTTTGTAAGGAAGCTAGGTTTTCTGGAGAGAGAGCAATGTAACTGCCACACCCTGGTCAATACAGACCAAGAGATCCTTTGTCAAAAGTCAGTGTCTCTGGTTTAAAACAAAATTTTAGTTTTAAGGGGAACAAAAACCACGGATAATGGTATCAAAAGGCATCTCTGGCCTTGTTCTTCCTAGAACACTTGTTCTGTGTTTTTTTCTGAATGTCTTAGTTGTAGATGGAAAAGCTTGTAAGAAAAATTAAAAAAAGCCTGTGAATACTTTTACAAAACCTGTAAAATGTTATTGGATGTGGCCAGTAAAAGAGGAAAAAAATGCAATTGTGTCATTGTCTGCAGCTGTTCACTTTTCTCCCATTCTTTACAATGTTTTGACCAATCTGTAGGCAGCCACCTTTCAGGTTCAGAAAAAATCACTGTTTGGAGCGAGTTCCCCAGCTCCGCCAGGGCTGCCCTGCCTAGGTCTCCAGGGGCTTTCTCCCCAGTCTCCCACCTCCACCCACCTCTGGACTCTGCCCAGCCGGCCCTTGGGGGGCCGTGGGCACCTGCTCCTGCCCCTCGTTTGGGCCGTACCCGGGTGACCCCTCCCAGTGAGCGCCTCAGCCCGGGGGGGGGCAGGGGCGGTTTTGGGGGGCTCCAGGCAGAGGCTTTCGGGTGCCTGGCGCGGGCCTCTTTCGGGAGGGGGCAGGCGGAGCACCGGGCAGGCGGAGCACCTGGCACCCGGGCGAAGACCCCAACCCTCGACTCCGGCCGGCAACAGCTGACAGTCAGGGGCCCCGCCCTCAGTGTTCCCTGTTCAGGGCTCGTGTTTCCTTTGGAATACGATGCGGCCCCTTTGGAGATGCTCCATCCCTTCTCCGGGCCTCAGCTTCACCATCTGTAAGGCGTGGAAATTGGGGGGTCCTGGATACGCGGGCTGCTTGCGCAATGCGCACGCGCAGCCCTCGCCGCAGTCTGCTCCCGCAGGAGGGGCGGAGTCGGGGTGGGGGTGGGGCCGCTCCAGCGGGAGGCCCCGCCCACAATCCCGTGCCGCAGTCCCCGGGGGTGGGGGCGGAGGGCCGCCATTTTGAGCACGGACGCGGATGGGACCCCGTCGGGGACAAAGGGAACTAGACTGGGCGCCGCCATTTTAAGAATGGAGTCGTCCGGGGACGCGCCCCGAACGCCCGACCGGGGCCATGTCGCGGCGGTGCGTGGCGGCGCCCATCTTCGGAGAAGGAGCGCTATGGGGGCGGCCATGTTGGAGGCCGCGCCCGCCCCTCCCGGGAGCCCCTCCCCCTCCGTCTCCCAGTTCCCTCCCCCGCCCCCACGCTTCCCCGCCCCGCCTCCTCCGCGGGGGCTCCGGGGGCCCCCCGCCCTCCCACCGCGGGTTGGGCGCCGGTGGGTCGGCGCTCGTCGAGCTGGGTTGAATAAGGGCGACGCCAGAGCTCCCTCCGAGAGCGAGTGCTTTTATTCCTGCTCCCCACAACCCCCCCCCGCTAGGCTCGGCCCCCTCCCCCCTCCATCGTCGGCGCCCCCTCCGGGGAGGGCGGTGCCACGGTCAGCCGGCCAGGCCGGGGCCGAGAGGCGACCCTCGCGAGTCCCCTCGGCCTCGGCCCTCCTTGGAGCTGTCCAGGGTGGGAGGAGAGGCTTAGGGCTGCCTTGTGCTTCTGATACTCTCGGGAGACCGGCTAGAGTTTGGAATGGGGGCCGCTTGAGGGACCGCTGGGTGGGTCCGGGGCGGGGGTGTGGGGCAGGCGCTCAGAGGAGTGCACAGAAGAATTTCTTCTCCCGGAACGGGTTCTCCGAGGTGGGCACAGGGGTGATGAGGGGGTCCTCACAGGCGTGAGCATCACAGTATGTCATCAGGTCAGCAGCTGCCTTGGATACCTGGGCACCAGCAGGAGAGGGGTAGGACTGGGAGCCAGGAGTCCCGAGGGGACGAAAGCCCCCTCTGCTCCCAAGAGAAACCCACAAAACGAAATCCCTGGGGTCCGCTCCTGCTGGTCCCACGGGGCCCTGAATGCCAAATTCTCTTGCCAACCAACCCCTTCCGCAGGTTTCTGGGCATAGCTTTCCCTCCACCCTAAAGAGTCCAAGACGACGCCGCCTACCCAGTATGAGCCTGGAAGGCAGCTCTCCCTCAGGTGAAGAAAGGATTATTGAGAGAGGGGCCTCTATCCCCTATTCCGCCAGAGACTCCCCGGCTGGGCCAGGCTACGGAGGGAGGCGGAGGGTCCCACCCACCTTTATCCGGCACATGCTGGCTTCTATCTTGAGCTGCTCCACCAGCTTTCGGGCTTGCCCAATGCTCATGGTGCTGTTTACGGGGGTCTCTCCTTTCATCGTGGCTCTGAGGAGAGCAGGAAAGCTCAGAACGTGACAGGTGCGGGGTGGGGGCGGTGGAGAACCATGCTCTCATTGCAGTAAGGAAGCCGCAAAGCCCAGCATGAACGGCACCCGCACGGTCATGCGGTTACCCTCAGCCGTTTCTAGCAAAATCACAGGGTCTCTGACCTAAAAAAGACCTCAAAGGCATCTAGTGCAAGCCAGACCTGACCAGGAATCAATCACCCCTGCAACTTTTGGACAAGCAGTCATAGCTTCTGTTTAAAAGACCACCGTTGAGGGAGTTGAGGACATTTGTCCCGATCTTTGATTCCTTTCTGAGCCTCTTTCTATCAGTGGGGAGCTTGGAGTTAGGGTAGGACCAGGGTGGTTAAGAAAGATTGCTAGATAATCCCCATCCTTCTCCAGCCTTTCCACCCCTCTGTCCTCGGTGATGAGAATTGTTGTGAGGAGGGAACAAGAAGGGTATGAATTCACTGGCTTCCCACATCTACCTTTTTCCAGACCTGTTCACATTCAGGAAATGATTTATGGGTCATTTAAACCAGGATTTCCTGAAAGAATCAATTTTAATCCTGGCCTCCTCCTCAGCATCCTAGAATCCTCTTGAACTGGAAGATATGAGGAACATGGAGAATGTACCCTAAGAAAGCACATAAGCCCCCCATCCAGTGGGTGAAAGCCTGCCCCCCCACACACACCCCTAATTACTGACCTGAAGCTTTAGTGGGCTGCAGATCCAGGGGTTTTGAGGAAAACAGAGACCTTCTGGCTGAAGTGGGCGTCTCACCCTGTTGCCTGGTGCTGTCTGATGCAGGTGATAGAAATAGCAGGCTCAGAGGAGAATAGAAGCAATCCCTGACAAGGAAGTCAGGACTGGCCTTAGGTCCTTCAAGGGCTGGTCCCAAGTGATACAGCGTTAGCACTGCCTGTCTGGACCACTAGTACCTGAAGGATGAAGGATGCTGGAAGGAGTTGCTTCCATCCCGGAACATACCAACCGTCCAGCCAGTGGGGGAGGTTGACAGCCTGCTCCTTCCCTGGGTGGGCACCCTGCCCCAGTCAACGACTAACTCCCTGCCCTCCCCTGTCACGGGCACACTGAGGTGACTGTCAGAATGTTTCTGAGAGGGCCTGGAAGGAGCCAAGGCCAAACTGACCTCCCCCACCATCCCCGTGGTGGTCTGGGCCCATGGCATCTGCTGTAGTCGAGTCTATGCTGGGCTGCAGGGGACCTTGCTCATTTGGAAATCTGACATCAGCTGGGCGTTTACTCTCCCCTCCCTTGTCCTCCCTTCCTCATTCTGCCTCAGCATTGTCATCCCCTTACTCTTATTTCCAGAGGCCCCAGTTCCTTCCAAACACAGGCTTACTCACAATCCCCTACATTGGATGTGAGGTTACAGGTTTTACATACATTTTGTTCAACAAATACTTATGGAGCGGTTATGCTTTACAAGGCTCTCACTTAGGAGCTGGGGATACAAGGTCAAAAACAGCCCCTTTCCTCATGGAGTTTCTATTCTGCTGTCAGAGATCTAGGCCAACCCGCTCATTTTACACATGGGAAAGTGGAGGTCCAGAGAGGTTAGTCATAAAAACATCACCAAGGTTCATTAAGCACTCTATGGACATTCATTCTCATTGGCAAAATCACAGACAGTCAAACTGTTATTCAGAGCCTATTATGCTCCAGAACCTTCACAAAGTTGCCCCTTTCAAGGATCAGTACTGTAAGGTAGATAGATAAGTGGGGGTGGGGTACTGCAGGTACTATTCCCATTTTGTAGATGAGAGAACTTGGGCCCTGACAGATGATGTGAGACCCTTAGTCACTGAGTTAGTAAAAACCAAGGTCTCCCTTGTTGGTTCAATTCAATTCAACAAACATTTATTAAGCACCTGCTATGTGCCAGGCACAGTGCTAAGTGCTAGGGATACAAAAAAAAAAGGCATAAGACAGTTCTGCCCTCAAGGAGCTCGCAATCTAATGGGAGAGACGACATGCAAATAAATAGGTCCAAAGCAAGCTATATACAGGATAAATAGGAAATAAGTAAAAGAAGAAAAACATTAGGGAAGGCTTCCTGTAGGATGTGGGAGTTTGGTTGGGACTTAAAAGAAGCCAGGGAGGTCAGTAGTTAGAGTAGAGGAGGGATAGCCTTCCAGGCATGGGGAGCAGCCAGAGAGAATGCCCAGAGCTGAGACCTGGAGATCTTGTTTGTGGAACAGCCAGGAGGCTGGTGTCACTGGACCAAAGAGGACTCTGTGGGGAGTGAAACATCAAAAGACTAGAAAGGGAGGAGGGGCCTAGGTTTTGAAGGGCTTTGAATGCCAAAAGAGAATTTTGTATTTGTTCCTAGAGGCAAGAGGGAGCCACGGAAGTTTAAGTAAGAGGGTGAAATGATCAGATCTTCATTTTAGGAGGATCACTTTAGTGACTGCATGAAGAATGGATTAGAGTGGAGAGAGACTTGAGGTAGGCAGACCCACCTGCAGGCTACTGCAGTAAGCCAGGCGTGAGGTGATGTGGATAGAGGCAGTGTCAGAAAGACAGAAGGGGACGTATTTGAGAAACATTGCAAAGGTGAAGTCTACAGGCCTTGGGAACAGCTCTGATATGGTGGGTGACAGACGTTAAGAACACAGAAAGGAGAACTTGACCAATGGTTGGAGACGGAGGGGTGAGTAAGTGGGGAGTCAAGGGTGACTCCTGGGCTGTGAGCCTGAGGGCCTGGGAGGGAGAGGGACGGGCGGGTGCAGTTTAGGGGAAAGACAATGAGGTTTTTTTTGGGACATATTGAGTTTAAGATGTCTCCTGACATCCAATTCAAGATGTCTGAAAGGCTATTGGCAATGGGCGATTGGAGCAGGAAAGGTAGATGTGAGAATCTTTAGCATAGAGATGGGCATTAAATCCATAGGAGCTACTGATGAGATCCTCAAGTGAAGTAGTTCAGAGGGAGAAAGAGAAGAGGGCCCAGGACAGAACCCTGAAGGACCTCTGAGGGTGTGATCTGGAGGAAAATCCAGCAAAGGAGATGGGAGGGGTGGTCAGAGAGGTAGGAGGAAAACCAGGAGGGAGAGGGGTGTCCCAAAAACCTAGAGAGAAGAGAGAGTGATGAATCACAGTGACAACGGCTGCAGAGACGTCAAGGAGAATGAGGATTGAGAAAAGGCCATTGGATCGGGCTCTCTCCAGTCCACCGAACCCCTCCTCTCCCTTCCCTCCCCCCCACCGTCAGGTTCCACACTTCCTTCCTTAGGTTTTGGCCACCAGTGAGGTAACGTGATTTGGAAGGGACCAGAGATAGGGAGATTGAGGAAAAGAACTTGAAGTCATGGCTGAAGGGAGAGAGAATCAGGAGCTGAGGTGGAGGGGTGGGCACAGGAGGCCCATGGAATTGGGAGAAGAAGAGTTGAGGAAGAGAGAGAAGGAAAGGGGAGAGATCTGAGAAAGAAAGTTTGGAGAAGATGAGGACCAGGAACATGATCGCAAAGTTTGCTGAATCACGATCATTGGATTACGTGTTCAAGAACACTTGGGTGCTCAAATATAGGGTATCATTGAACGTGGTGCAAGGCCCTGAAACTCTGGGGCAATCCTGTATACACAGGAGGTCTGCCGAGTCTGTACGATGGACTGCTCCTGCCAGCCTAGGAGTACCCAACACTACCTGGGAGAATCACACAGGACCTTGGAGACCATCTGGTGTAAGTCTCCTCCTTTTACAAGTGGGGAAACTGAGGCCCAGAGTGGGGAGGGAAATTCTCCATCAGATTCATGGAAGAGGAGCGCTGGAAAAGCCCTTAGGCAGTCTGCCCAATCTCATACAGGGGAAGGGATTACTAAATAACACCACCAATTTTCTCCTTTCCTCGGTGCTTTATGGTTCACAACACACTCCTGGGTTTGCTTTGTCTATATTTTGTATTGATGATCGTCCAGGTCCTTTCCCTGAAAGGAATGTAAGTTTCTTGAAGGCAGGGAAATGTTTCCTTTTCATCTTTGTATCCTCCATGGCCCAGCACAATGCGCTTCATAAAGAAATGCTGGTTGATCGATTGAAGGACATTGTAGAGTAGGTCCCCATTTTACTGATGGGTGAAATTGAGGTCCAGAGAAAAGGGGTAAAATAATGACACAGCCTGGCATTTTGACACTTTCTCTTCAAATCACTTTGATCACAACCACCCACGGAGGCAGACAGAGGGAGTCCCCATTTTCAGAGGGGAAAATTGAGGCTCAAGGAGATTAGTAGGGAGCCCAGGTGGGTGCGAGGGGTGGAAGGGGAGAAATGAGGGAGGCCAGGGCTTGGAGGAGCGGGGTGAGAGAGGACGAGCTGCTCTGAGGGGCACCGGACGGGGTCGGGGGGGGTGGTTTGCATCTCAGGGGTGGGGGTGGAGAAAGCAGGGAGGCCGCGCCACAATTCTCGTCACCACAGCAACGGAGTCGCAGCCGTTGGTCTGCGCACGTGCCGCTAGACGCCAGCGATTGGGGCCAGGCCTCGTCCCGCCCCTTGGCCTCTCGGGCCCCGCCCCTCGCGCGGCGTCTCCTCCAATCGCTGGGCCCCATTCCTGGGCCGGGCCGCTCGGCCCCGCCCCCTGCGGCAGTACAAAGGCGGGGCCGCGGCCGGGGGCGGAGCTTCCGCGCGAGGTGGAAGTCTTCTCTCGGCGTTGCCGGGGCAGCGACAGAGGCCGGTGAGTGAAGAAGGTGGCGGGGCCCCGCCGGCCGGCGTGGTTTCCATGGTGACCCGGTTAGGTAGGGGGCTGGCCGGCCGCAGAGGCCTCGGCGTGGGGAGCGGATCGGCGGGCCTCCGGGGGCGGGAGGGAGGCCGCAGCCCCCCGGCCTCGGGCTCCCCCCCGGCCTCGGGCTCCCCCCACGACGCTTACCTTACACAGCCATTGTGAGGCCCGGATCGGGGCGTCGTTGGGCCGGGGCCGGGCGCCTGAGCCTTGCGGGAGGGGACGCGGGGGAGGAATGTCCGCTGTGCCCATCCCCCCTGGGCTGCTGCGGCGCCTGGGCCTGGTTATCGTCGAGGTAGAGCCACTGAAGCGGGGCGGGGGCGGGGGCGCCAGCAGGCTCGAGAGGTAGATGCGGCAAACTGAGGCTCGACCAGACTTGTTCGGGTGGGCCCCCGAGGGCAGTCGCGTAGTCCCGGAGTGGGGGCCCTCCTCGCTGCAGATCGGCGTGGGCAGGGCTGCCCCCCACCCAAGGCACGGGGCGGGGGTGGGGGTCTGCAATGAGGGCGCTTGCGTTGCAACAGCAGCCTCGGGTTCGAGTCCCCAGCCCTGCCTCTTCCTAGCTGGGTCACCTGAGGAAAGTCCCATAACCCCGGTGGGCAAGGGGCGGGGAGGCCTGAAATAGATTTCCTTTCATCTGAAACGGGTTGGACTAGGTTCCCTCGAAAGGCCCTTTCCTGTTGTGACCCCGTGACCTCCGTCCCTGGGCTACTGAGATCTTATTTATTAGTAGGAGGGTCCCGAGGGTCCCGGTGTTCATCCTCCCTCCCCTTTGCTCCAGCGTTTTCAGGGTACCAAGTGCTTTTTTCACAAAAAACCCTGTGAGGCAGGTAGTGAGGGTGTTGTCGACTCCCCGAGGTTCGGAAAGGATAACGCAGGTAGCTGGCATCTGCCCCTGCCTGGGTCCTCAAACCTTGGATCCGGTGCCCTTCCCAGGACATTGGCGCCGCCTCTCTTATTACAGATGAGAGGAGAGAGGTTGAGTTTTCTGAATGCAAGATGATAAGGTTTTAGGACTTAGAGCCTGGAAGAGGCCTTAGAGATCACCTGTTTCCCCTCACTTGAAACAGAAGCAAAGAGGCCCCGGGACATTACGCAGCCACCTAAGTTCCCGTCGTCGCAGAGCCCAACCCTCTATCCTCAGACCCTCTGCACAGCTTCCACTCTCTGCTGTCCTGTCAGCTTCCCAGCTGCGCAGCAGACAGAAGGATCTCATTTTTCTGATCCTTCCTCCCTCATTCCAGGAATTCGGAGCTTCTGGCATTTAGAGCTGGATTTAGACCTTTAAGGTCATCTAGGCCAAAGCACTCGTTTTACAGAGGGAAAAGCTGAGTTTGCCCAAATTCACGTAGGTATTGCATAACAGAGCTCTGGCAGCTTTTGAAGCACTTTGTCCACAATAAATACTACCAGGTAAGAAGTACAAGGATTGCCCCATTTTTCAGGTAAGGAAATGAAAGTTTAGAGACATAAGGGAACCTGCCTTAGGGTCACACACTAGGGGCCCACAATTACCTCCACCCTTCTAGGACCAGCATGGGTGGGTGGGGGAATCTGTGAGCGCCCAGACCTCGATGCTCCTCGGAGCTGCTCTAGACACTTTCTGTTATGCTGTCCATGCTCATGGTTGACTGTCTCTATGAAACATCAAAGGGATGAGTAGGGAAGGTTTATTCCATCCCCACCCCCGCTTCCAGATCAAATTTCTCTGAATTGGGGATATAGGAGATTATTGGCATTCAGCTCGTGACTTGCAATTAAATAAGTGTCTTACCATGTTTCCTGGGTTAGACAAAAAAAGAAATTACAATAAGCACATGAGCAGGGACCCTGGGGCTGGGGTGGGGGGGGGCGCGGCGGCGCCTCCCCTCTGTCACACTTGGGAAGCTTCAGATAAGAGGCACACAGGATGGGCGGGCAAGAGTAGGCTGCAACTGGGTGTCCTTAGACAGAATGTACCCACAGTAATCAGATTAGGAATGTCTTGAGCACTAATTACGTTGGGTGGATGTTAAGGGAGATAAAATTTAGGATAAAACTTGTCCCTGGTGGCTCACAGACTGATAAGGGAGAAGCTGAACACAGAGCCAGTGGGGCTATAGAGCACACAGTAGGACCAGCGCTTAGTTGGATGTGTTTGGTGGGAAGAAAGAAGGCTGACACCTGACCTTTCCCATCTTTCTTATTTGGATCGTGGGAAAAATGCTTTGTAACCCTAAAGCTCAATGCAAATAGAATTTAAAAAATGATCATAGCTGGGGCTGTGGGTATGGGAATGGAGTATAGACAGAGTAGTTGAGTCATACTAAAGCAGGGGTGGATCTGTCTGGCTGTCCCCAGGGCCCTGAAGCCAGTCCAGCCACCTTGCCTCCACAGAGAAGGAGCCATTCTTCCCTCTTTACCTTATTCTAGGAACTGCTGCCTGCGTTGTCCCATGGCCAGGGGCAGCATCCAGGTGACAGAGCAAATCGGACAAGGCAGCCTGACACCTGGGCCTAGGCAGGGCCTGGCTGCCCCTCCCCTGCTCTCTCCATGGCCAGTGACCCAGTGCCAGCCCTGCTCTGGGCCCAGGAGGTGGGCCACATGGTGGTGGGCCGCACCCGGAAGCTGCTGCTGCAGTTTGGAATTTTATTCTGCACCATCCTCCTCCTCCTCTGGACATCTGTCTTCCTGTATGGCTCCTTCTACTATTCCTACATGCCCACAGTCAGCTACCTCAGCCCAGTCCACATTTCTTACAGGTGAGAGGTTCCCTGCTGCCAGCTGCCTGACAGAGAGCTGCTCTCTTTCCCCCAGGGCTGGTACGAGACTGGGCTGGGGTGTTTAGGGAAGGCTGGGGGACAGCCTCAGCTCATCCAAACTATCAAAAGATGCTGGCTGACCTCTTTGGAACTGCTGCCTCTCAGGGCCCCCATGAACTTTGCAACCTCCATGGCATTTCTTTTATTTCAAACTATGTACTTCTTTAAAGTTTTGTCGATGATGGCTTTTGATTTTTCTATTATAGTCACTTCTGGAAATTCCCCTACCTACAATTCTTGGAGGTGAACTTTCCCTTGTAACAAAGAAAAACATTTAAGTACAAATACCCAATACAGTGACCCAATGTTAAGTGACTTTGTGTTCTGGTAGTCCCTTGCTCCCCTGCCAAAAGGAGAAAGACAGGTTTCCATATCTGTTCTATGGGGCGCACCATGTTTTACGATAGCCCTTTCCACCCACACCCCTGCCAGTAAGCCCTTATTCGTTCATCCCATATTCAGGGAATATAATCTAAAGCAACCCAACTTGGGATCGTAGAAACCTCCCTCAACTCTTCTTGCTGGGGGTGCCTTTCCTTCCCTCTTTTGGGACCCTTTTACTCTATCTCCCCCCTTTTTCCTACCCTGCTCATTCTCAATTCCAGGGACTTCACTCTTATTACTCATCCCAGAACCAGATGTGGGTGGCAGCAGTGGCACTGTTTTCCTTCTCTCGGATACAGTGAGCACCATCTTGTACTAGACAAGATGGGAGTGGGGGTGAGATGCTGACATCTTGTGTACTGTAAAGAAGGCTGGACCCCCACGGGGTCAGTGGCGGTGATAAGGTAAATGATGTACCTTCATTCCCACTCTAGGACAGACTGTGGTTCTGCTGGGCCTGTTCTCTGCTCCTTTCCTGTTGCCAACGTCTCCTTGGTTAAAGGTGGACGTGATCGGGTGAGTAGGGGAAAGGGGTGGGAGAGACAAGCTGGGGAAGCTGGGAGTGGGAGCTCCGGGAAAAGAGGCTGCTGCTTTGGGGACTGGGCAGGTGAGAGGAGGCGGAATTAGGGGAAGGGATAAGGAGAGTCTCCTTCTTGGAAGGATTCAGCTCGCCTGTCTGTGACCATTGTTAAGTGCACAGGTAGTTTTTTCTTAGTAATGACATAAATCACTGGACTGAGGGGGCATCCACCCAAGTGTCCATGGGATTCAAGGGTAAAATGGTGAAACTGACGGCCAAGTTATGAAGCTTGTCAGAAATGGCAGCTGGGTCAAAGGGCTCGGCAGACGTCGCCGTGCCTCCAGAGGACAGTCAAGAAACTGCAGGCCAGTCAGTCCCCTTCGAGAGCTGGGCAGCTGGTGGGATCAGGAAACACCTAAGCAAAGGAGAACTAGACTCAGAAAAAGGCAACGAGGTTCCCATTAGTAGTATTCTCTGCAGAGGCAGAGCTACATCTTGGACAACGTGTTCCATTTGGGTGTCCTAGGACCTGGGTTTGAGGCCTGCTTCTGCCTCTTGTGTGACATAGATGAGTCACATCACCTCAGGTGTGCTCCTCACTGCTGGCCTCATAAGGCCCTTCCAGCTCCCAATCTATGCTGCTGATGAGTGGGCGTAATGTATTTAGGCCTTCAAAAAGCCTTTGGCAAGTTTTTATAACAAAGGCTTAAAAAATGGGGCAACGTGAATGTTTGATCACGCATGGGCGACTTGCTTAGAAAGAGGCTAAATATCAGAGAATATTTCTACCAAAGGGGAAAGGGGAAAGCCATGGGATCTTCCCAAGACTTTCTGTGCCAGGAGCCATCCTAATTCATGATTGTTTAAATGAGAGTTAGGGTTAGAAGCAACTGGTGGCTTAGTGGATGGAGTCCCAGTCCTGGAGTCAGAAAACCTGAGTTCAGAGCCAGACTTAGACACTAGCTGTGTGACCTTGGGCAAGTCACTTTACCTCTGTCTGCCTTGTTTCCTCAGCTATAAAATGGAGATGATAATAACAGCACTTACCTCTCAGCGTGGTTGTGAGGATCAGATGAGATTTATATTTGTAAAGTGGTTAGCACAATACCAGTCACATAGTAGGTGCTTAATAAATGCTTATTCCTTCCCTTCCCTACATAAATGAGATTTGAAAGATGCATATGCAGCGAAGTATTCAGATTCGTAGGAGCCAGTTGGTTCTTGTGGGTAGTAAAATGCCAAGATGATAAATTTTGATTTTGCCAGATAAGGGGACAGGAGTGGGCAGGTGAATTTCAGTTTCCTGTGTTACTTGAGGTAACAGGTGCTTCTTTGAATGACCCCTCCCCTTCAGCTGCAGTAGTCTGTACCTGAACTAGGAGAGGTTCCCAGAGTGGTGGTTATGGCCCTTGGGGACAGGGGAATCACTCTTTCCCAAGGTCAGCTTCATCTTTGGAGAAGGGCAGCCCAGGTGATCTCTGTAGAGTTGTCTGGGTATGACCTAGAAAGGTGAGGTTTTGTCAAGCTGAAGTGATGCCTGAGAGGAGATGCTGGACAGATTGTGGGGAGCCCTTTATGACAGTACCTGGCTCCTGAGTGCTTGCTGGGCACCCCACACAGAATCAGCTCAGGGCCGAGACAACAGAGAATGAGGAAAGATGCCGCTTATCCCCGAGCCTGTGGCATTCAGTTTAGTCAGCATTGATCCAGTGGGAGACAAGTCCCTCAGTCCTGCAGCCCAGCCCAGAATGTAATGAAGTATGTGTGTCACAGACCTGGGAGTGCTAGGAAGGCCACTGGGCCAAAGGAGCCTCGGCAGAGAAAGCTTGAGGAAGGAGGGGGAGTCTCAAAGTGGGCTGGATGAGCAAGGACGGGCTGGGGGTCTTCCTGCTCTTCTTTCTGCCAAGATCAAAGGCCCAAACTTGGTCCCAAGATGCTGACATCTGGTCATTTCCAGTGATACTCTTGGAAACCTCAGAAGACCAGAGTGACACACATTAAAGGAAACAGTGACCTTGTGGATTTCATCATCCCAAGAGTTAATAGGATCAGCTAAAGATGGGCTCCTCCCTGGGCTTTTATTGAGCTGGAGGTACCAGAGGTGCCCAGGATGATCAGAGCAGAGCTGTAAACTTCGGAGCTGAAGCAAGGGCAACCATGATCTCCTAGAATAGGAAACCCCCTGAGTGCCTGGCTGAATAAGTCAGGTGCGATCATTCTTACAAATGGTACCAGGGAGGAGGGGGACTGGAGAAGAGCTTTTTAGGGATGAGACAATAGTGCTTCCTGAAAAGGGAACTGCTTGCTGGCTGTTGGTTAATTAATGATAAAAATGTGTCAAGCTGGTTCCAGGAGGATGGTCTCTTTAGCACACGTAGGCCTTAGTCACAGATGACCCATTTGGCAATGTGGGAGTTTGCTTTCCAAGAAGGGGAGTCACTGATGTGCAACAGTCTTTAAAAAGGAAGTGAGGCCCAGCGTGAGAAGTGTGACCAGGATTCTGGCCCAGGGAAGGTGGATGAGCGAAGGGAGTGTTTGGGCCCAGGGAGTCTGGGGCTCTGGGGAAGGTAGTTAGTCAGAAGGAGGACACACAGAGGAGTGTACACACACACACACACGCACACACACATACACATACACACACTTGGAATGTTTCTTATGCTGTCAGACTCAGTGGCCATGTTGCTTGGATTTACTCAATTGTGTTTGGTTTTTTTTTTTTTAATTCTTTGTTACAAATAATGGCTCACTAGTAGGTGGGGGGAGATAAATTCAGAAGTGAAAGTGAAGAAAAAGTGATGAAAAAGCAAAAGATAGTAATAAAAAGAGGCATTTGAGCTGAGCTTGGGGCTGGGAAGAGGGCTGATGTGACATCCCCCCCAAATGTGGTGCAGGTGTTGATGTATGGACAGCCATACCGAATTTCCCTGGAGCTGGAGATGCCCGAGTCCCCAGTGAACCAGGAGCTGGGCATGTTCATGGTCACCATTGCTTGCTACACCCGAGGCGGACGAGTCATTTCCTCTTCCGCCCGTTCCGTGAGTCTTGTGGGGGAGGTGTGGAAGGCAATCCAGCCACAGGAACCTTTGGAGGGAGGGTCTTTGGCACGGAACTAAAAGTTCAGGGCTCTTAGATGGGGTTTGGGGTGGGATGGGATGCGTGCCCTTGGCTGAAGCAGCAGCTTTGAGACTGGCCCTGACTTTAAGGAGCTCTTGATCCAACGGGATAATGAGACAACCTGACCTAGACCGTCTTATCCCTAGCATCTAGCAACAGTGACTTAGAGTGCATCTGTTCAATTTGATTGTCAGCCTCCACTTGATCTAAGGATCAGAGGTTCTTAGTGTTCCATTTGTGTGTCCTGGACCCCTTCCCAGAATCCTGTTTTGAAGTGCATTATATTGAAGGAAAGGTGTAATTTTTTCCCCCATCCAATTTCATGGCCCCTCTGAAATCAACTCAAAGACCATGAGATCCAGGTTAAGAATCCCTGACCAGGGATCATTCAGATTACAATGGGGGCAGGGGGAGGACAGATTTTGGGGGCTAAAATAGTGGGTTTGGTCCTGGAAGCCTTCCAGAAAATGGGATCTTGTAAAAAAAAGGAATGTGCATGCGTGATGCAGAGCCTGGTGGGCAGGTGGGTCGGGAGTGAGGTCCCGGCTGGGGAGAAGCTCGGGAACAGACCGTACTGACGAGAACCTGAGAGAAAGGGCCGGGCAGGAGTGGGTGGGGTGGGGCCAACATGTGAGCCATCTCGGCTTCCCTGGGCAGCTCACATCTCCTCTCTGGCCCTCACAGGCCATGCTGCATTACCGTTCGACGCTGCTGCAACTGCTGGACACCCTTGTCTTCTCGGGCCTCTTCTTATGTGGCTTTGCAGAGCAAAAGCAGCTCCTGGAGGTGGAATTGTATGCAGACTACAGGGAAGACTCGGTGAGGTTGGGGGGCCCTGAAATCAGGGTCTAGTAGGAACTTGGGGAGCCCTGACCCCTTCTGCTGAAAGGTAGCACTCATTAAGCAGGGCTACTGTGGAAAGACAGGGAGGGTTGGGAGTGGCTGAGCACTGGAGGAGAGGAGAGACAGAAGGAGAGTGAAGAGGGACAGAAAGAGAAGAGAGAGGGAGAGACAGAGAAGAGAGATAGAAGAGAGATGGAGAGAGAGAATGAAAAGAGACAGAAGAGAGAAAGAGATGGAAAGTGAAGATAAAGATGAGGAGAAGAAGAGATGAGAGAGGGAGAGACAGGAGAGATGGAAAGTGAAGAAAGAGGTGGAGAGAGAGACAGAGATGAGAGACAGAGGGAGAGACAGAAGAGAGAGATGGAAAGTGAAGAAAGAGGTGGA